AGCTTTCATGAGCTCGCTTTCTCCAACTTAAAATGGGTATATTGGTTTGTGGAGCAGTCTACATTTGCAATTAATATTTTTATTTTCTTTCTTTAAAAGTAAAAAATGACAGAAGTATAAATAGAATAAGAGTAGCTGCAATAATCACAGTACTGAAAATAATTTGCCATGGGATCAAATTAATTGACCTGGCAGAAACCATTTGATGATCTTTCAATATATTTCTGTTAGTCTGTGTTGACTAAAGAAACAAATCCAGAGACACTCATATATGTATAAGAAAGATCTTTATACAAAAGAGTAATTGTGTAGTAATAAAACATCCCAGCCCAGTCCAGATCAAGTCCACGAATCTGATATTACCCCATGAATCCGATATTAATCCATACATTCCTCTTCAACCTCATGCAGCACATGAAGTGATGCAAAATGCAAGAGGATCACAGGCCAGTGGGGCGAAATCTTGTGGATCCAATGTCAGTGGAAGTAGCTCAACCCCGGCATGGGTTTCACCATGGCTCCTTCAGCTCTCCAAGTGTGGCTCCTCGACAGGAAGGTGAAGCAGAGGGAGAGTCTCTTGCAGGTCTCAGCAAGTTTCTGTGTAGCTTTTCAACAGGAAAACTAAGGCAGAGAGAGAGAGGATGGCCCACGTACCGGGAGAAAGAGCAGAAGTTCCCAGAATCCTCTTGAGAAGGCCACGCCCACACAGAGGCATCATCAGGCTATGAACTGATTGACAGGGTAGACTACAGTATACTTATCTACAAGTTGACATGAAATTATGTCACTACCACAAATTCTATACCAAATGGTTTATCTAAACATTAGATCCTGACTCAAAAAGTTAGTATTTCTATGTGAAATATATAAATATCATGAGAATAATTAATGTGATTTCTTCAAGGTGATATAATGTTTATAATAAAACCCAAGAATCATGAATCCTAAAGGCCAATATATTTGTTTGATGACAGTTAAGATAGATTGGTTTTGTGTTAACTGGGTCTACACTTTTGTTATTTGTCAGTTAAAGCCTCCCCATGTGATCTAACATCACGTAAGCAATCCAATGATAAATTCTATTCAGCTTGCCTGTCTGTGCATATCCAATCATGTTGTTATTGTTGTCAGTTACTATTCAGTTGGTTCCAATCTACAGGGACCATATGCACAACAGAATGAAACTGCACGGTCCTTCGCCACCCTGTGCTGAACCATTGTTGTAGCCACTGTGCAATCCCTCTGCTTGAGGGCCTTCCTTTGACACACTGCTCCTCTGCTTTACCAAACATGTCCTTCTCTGGGGACTGGTCACTCTTAACAACATGGCCGAAGGACATGAGGCAAAGTATCCTTCCTCCAAGAAGCACTGCGGGCACTTCTTCCCAGACAGACGTGTCTGTCTTTTCAGAAGTCAATGGTGCTTTCAAGGTTCTTCTCCAGCGCTGCAATTAAAGCGCATATATATATGTCTATATATCCAGCTTAATTACTTTTATTGTTGATGTTGTGTGATTGTGAATGTATTAGTAATGATTTTGTTGCTTGTGCACTTCTATAACTTCTTTTGTATTAGTGATATTTTCTTTTATTGAACTCTGCGTTTGCCTCAGCCAAAGTTGTATATGTCTGTTATGTAGTTAGAGATGCTCCTTCTCTCTCCCCCATCCCTGGGAACCATCAAAATAGGTATGTTTATTTCTGTATGTAAACATTTAATTAAAATTCTAGAATTTAACTTTTCTAGAACACAAACAATATAAAATGACTTTTGGTTATTTCATGTGGTGAAATGATTAACTTGATACCTGGGATTAATGGGTTTTAATGTCTCCTATATAGATATCCTAGCTTAATCTTTGAGGACTGTATTGAAACTTCCTCTCTTTCTACCATGAGCATCATAAAAAGAAAAACTTTTCCACCAAATACCCCCATTCCTCTGGGGCTATGTCTGGTCTATATTCCCCAGATTCACATTACAATCACTCTGTTTGTCTGTCTTGTCCCACATCTTTCTCCCCTCGGTGTTCTTAAACCTATTTAGACCAGCTATCCCAGCTTCTGAATTTCACCCTTGAAAACATGGATTTTATCTTTTCCTTAGACAAGTTTGGAGTGATATTTTTCTCATTGAAAGGGAAATTGTCTTCTTTGGTCTCATTGAACTGGAAACTGTCCAGTTCCTGCCGCTGTACAAACAAGTTATTTCTATCACACTTATAGTAGCAAATATTTGTGATGAAGACAACTAATCCATATTTGAGGGCTCTAGTCGCATGTGAAAGTGAAAACGCTTAAATAAGGAAATAGAATAAAGGTTTCTTTTTATCCCAGCTTTTCAGAAATTAATACGCAGTCATATGTAAGTAAGTAGCACGTGTTGGCACTCTTTGAGAAGATATTATACTTGTTTATAGAAGAAAAAAGTGGTTAGTATGCTAATGTATTATTAGATTAATTGATCAAATGTAATCTGTAAATATATAGGTACTGAATTCAAAATCTAGCTTTATTTTTAGGTTTATAATCTCAAACTTTTTTTTAACATATTACTAAAATTCTGATGATTTTGTCTAAGATACAATTGATGGAAACAATCCCAAAGCAAAAAGAAAAAATAGTTTGGAGCAGAAAGAAACAATTTGTTTTGTCAAATTGCACCCAATGCACTGAAATAGAGTTAGTAACACTCGACCTTGTCCAAAGAATAAGGTTTTAAGTATCTTTAAATTTTTTTTTTTGTAAAGGGAGTCAAAATCACTATTTATCTCTGTGTGTGTATATATATGTGTGTGTATATATATATATATATACACATATATGGTTTTGTAATGAGCCTCATTTTTTGTAGCCTTGTATGTGCATACACAAAACTCTTCTCCTAATGAATTT